TGGGGCAGCTGCTGTGCCCCTGTTGCTGTTCTGAGGGTATTTGTGCACATGGGCCTGGCCACCTTCATCTCCATCACTGTCACATGGGCTACTGTGCAAACTCACTAATCTTTTCTGCACTGTCTAATTTGCTCTTAATTGCACCCAGTCTATTATTAATTTCAGACATTGTGATTTACAGCTCTAGAAATTCAATTTGAGTCTTTTTATATCTTCTTTGTATACATTTATTGTGCTTTTCTTTAGCTTCTTTAACCTATGGCTTTAACATAGCTTTCTCTAACAGCTTCTTTAATGATAATCATATCGTTATGATTACTGTTTTAATGTCCCTGTCTACTAATTCTATTATTTTTGTCATGTCTGAGTTGGTTTTGATTCATTTTTCTTGCTATGGGTATATTTTCCTACTTCTTTGCATGTGTGGTCTTCAAATAATGCCTGGTATAGGAATTATTTTTAAGATTCTGTGGACATCTTAAAGAAAATAACAATGTTCAACAGTTTGTTCTAGGGAAAAATGAGCCTTTCCTGGTTTTTCTGCTGGTTTCTCATAGAACCTGCACAGAGGCTGGGATAGAACAAAAGCTGAGGACAAAGATGCAGAAAGATTGAGATGGGGAGGAATGAAGTTGAGGAGCTCCAATAGAATGGCATTTCTCTTCTTAGGAACTTCTTAGGAATTTCTTCAACATTCTTAGGAATGTAGGAGGCAAGGCCAATAGTTGAGTGTGAGGGAAGAGTAGAAGAGGAAGGACTTGAAGAGTATAAAATGTGCTCAGGGCTGCAGCTGAGTGATAAGAAATCAACCAAAAAATAATCGGGTTGTTTTAATAGCTGGTCCTAGCTGAGGTTAGTGCTTAGGTCTGGAAAATGTGGGCAGTAGTATTGTCCAGGCAAGACTCCTCATGACATTCTGTAGATCCCTGAATTTTCACACATTTCCAAGCATCTCCTTGGACAGAAGTCCTCTCTGTGTGCTAAGTCTCACAGCACAGATATTACTTTCTTTCAGTCAGTCGTGCCACACCTCTGCTTGGCACTCTTCTTTATCAGATGGCAACTTTTTGGGGTTATGCATAACTTTTCAGAGTCCCACCACTTTAGGACTCTTTCTGGGTGCTGCATAAGGATATTAGAACTCTTAAATTAATTTAATCACTTTCTTTTAAGTTTAAATGTTGATCATTGGCCTCTCTACTTCTTTCACCTTCCCTTCTCTTTTGCCTCCTTCCTGAAGAGCTGTATAATCATCCCCCTTTTCTGTGTTGAATCTCTGTTTTAAGGAGTAACATGTAAAACTTATTCTGACTGCCAGTCTACTTTGTAATCTCCTACGTTTACTTTCATCTTGTATATCTGTGACAATTGTTAATTTTTTCCAAAAGTTTATTTCCTCTTTTTCGTGTACATGTGACTTCCCCACTTAACTACATTTCCCAGCTTCCCTTGCAGCTAGATGTGGCAATGTAATGAAATTTTTGCCAGTAGAATGTGAGAAGTTATGTGTACAATATCTGCCTCAATTGCTTAAAATAAATTGTGTTCCTTAGCCTTCCTGTGTCTTCCCTGCCTATAAGCCAAAATGTAGAGGTTATGACAACTTTCCTTATGGTGGAGAGAATAACAGCCTAGGTGATGAAGAATGTTTGACTTGTGAGGAAGCTGGGTCCATTAATGATTAATGGAGCAAGGCTACCCCATCAGTCTGAAACTACCCCACCACTCATGCACACCATCAGACTGTTGAGTCAAAGAGAAAATATTGAGCCACTACATATTTGGGTCTCTTAATTATAGCAATTTAGCCTTTAACCTAGAATGTACATTTATTCCTAAATAGTAATGTATCATTAACATCACAGGAAGGGAATTCTTTTTTATGTATCTTTTATTTTGTTGGAAAAAAGGTAATCTGCTTGGGCTTTATTCTGCCAAGTTAGAATTTTTCTCTGTAATTTTTTCTATAGATGACTCATCCATAATAACAATTAACATTGTTTCTAAAATGGATTGATATACACCATCTTATTTTGTCCAAAGAAAAATCCCAAAGGTAGATATTATTACTTCCATTGTATAGATTAAAATATTTAGATTCAAGAGAACTGAGCGGTGGTTACCAGGGGAAAGGGGGCGTGGGAGGAGGGCACTAAGGGTGAAGTGGTGTACCTACAACATGACTAATAATAATGTACAACTGTAATTTCACAAGGTTGTTAACTATCATAATATTAATAAAAAAAATTTAGATTCACAGAGATTATGAGATGTACACAAATTCATACAGCTACTTAAGTAAGACAGTCAGGTCTCAAAGCCATTTATGAACAATTTTGTTTATTCCTTGTTCCATGTATATCATGCTGCTTAGTAAAATTAAGACTAGTTGAAGTACCTTTTAACAACAAACTCACTTAACTCTGCAACCAAACTAATCAGTCACTTAATTAACAATCATGTGTTAAGTGCCAGTTATGTTCAAAGCATTTCATATGGTGGTAGGTAATAGATTTCTAGCCTGTTCTCTGAGTGCTAACTAACACAGAAGAACATATATATGTAAACAGGTGCCAAACTGGGGGAAGAGGAAATAAAATATTGCTAAGTGCTTTTCATGTGTCAGGTCTCGTGATAATGAAGCAAGTTTATCGTTATTATAATTAAGCCCTGGAGAGGTTAAGAGACTCGCCCAAAGTCACACAAGTAGTAGGTTTAGGGGTTGGGATTGGATTCTGGGTCTGTAAAGACTCCAAAGCCCATGTTATTACCACTATCATGGTGGGGGAACCCTTGAATGTGACAGAGATTCATCAGAGAGTGGTCATTTCCTTCTAGGATTCATGGGGGGCTTGATAAAGGGATGGAGTTAGATCTGCGTGGGATTTGGATAGGGAGAAAAAATATGGGGATGAGGAAGGGAAGACTGCTTGGGAAGAGACCCAATGTGTGAGTGAAGGACAATGAGGGGCTAGCACCGTTGTTGGAGTGGTTTACACAGGGGAACATGGGGACGTTTGCTCCATGCCTCTAGTCTACCAAGGAAGACAGTCTAGAAGTTCTAGCTGCCTGTCTGACACCCTCACCTCAGTCCATATGTGTGAGCACATTCTTTTGAGCACCTGTAGCTGGGTCTTCACTGCCCCAGAGTCCATGACCTGGGAGAGAGGTTCGGTCTGGCCCTCTGCTCAGGCTTACACCCTTTTACGTACATTTGGGTCAGAAATCTGAACTGGCCTTTGTGTGAACACCAAAGACAGCTAAGTACCCAACAAAGAGGCACTTAATTTAATTGCTCCTTCAGGATCCACTTAGACTAATCACCATGAACATTTCCCCCAGGTGTCTCCCACAGGCAGTGAGCCACAAAATCTTGGCCAGATCAGCTTAAATACTGGAAGAAAGCTTCATCCTGTCTAGATTGATTTTGTCTTAGATTGTGTACTGCCTCGTTGTCACTATGTTTCCAACCTCAGTTGTGGTTGACAGAGAAAGGACAGAAATACATAAAATCTATTATCTCCACAAAGATGAAGGACTTTTTCAAGGTAATTAGGAATATTCTAAAGATGGTTCATTGCATAAGGTGATATAAAGGAACGAGAAAAATTCTACTCATAATGTAAGTCTGCTTAATTTGGATCACTAACTGTATAAAAGACCTGACACTTTTGGTTTAGCTGACTCAGAGTCAGTAACATTTGTGGGTTTCTCACTGTGTATGGTCACTGTTTGATCAGTAAATGAAATAATAGTGCAAATAGGATACCAAAACTGGCTGAGAGTTTAGGGTTTGCATTCTACACTTCAATCATAATAAATGATCATATAAATTCTTGGTTGATTTTTCTTTTTCTGGACTTTCTTTTGACATTTGACAAGGTTGGATTTAGGGGGGGCAACTAACAGATTACACAGCAAAGAATTCTAGGCTGGAATCAGAAGCCCTGTGGCTAGGTAACATCTTTGTCACTAATACTCTGTGTGACTAGGGTAAGTCACATAGACCCCTTGTGACTTAACAATAAATAGGTTGGACTAGGTCATCTTCAAAGTACCTTTCAGATTTAAACTTGGACATAAGAGATTTTGGCACTTTTCTGATTTTTCACTTTTTGTTCTTAAAATATGTTTATAATAGGAATATTTACCTTCATATATAATAAAAGGACATTGGATTAATTATGTGATGTCTGTGAGCAGTGGGGCACCGCAGAAGAATTGTTAGAAGGAGAAATACATGACAGATCTGCCTTTTAGAAAGCTTATTAAATGGAAGAATCAGAAACTACAGAGCAGTAAAAAGAAGGAAATGAAATCAACTACAATCCATCCCCACTGTTCAAATTCTGGTCTATCACTCGCCAGGTGTTATTCCACAGGCACATATGCAAAGATGCCTTTTTCTTTTTTAAGTCAAAATGAGATTCTATTGTACAGACTAGTTTTCAACTTTTTCATTCTGTTTTCATAATCATCAGTTGAACACTTCTAAAGTATCATTTTTGATTTGGTAAGTACAGAGCATTTTATTTATCAATATAATATACTCACCTTTAAGAGTGTAGGTTGCTTTTAAATTTTCACTATGATAAATAATGCTATGGGGACATCTTGAAAATACTCAATTATTTCCCTAGGATAAGTTCATAGAAGTGAAAGTTTTGGCTTAAATGGAACACAAATTTTAAAAGGTCTTCATCTTGGCACTCATGCTAAAGTTAGTCACTATCACGTTTTTTGAACTTTGCTAAACTGTGGCTGATAGAGTGGATCATTGATTTAACTTGCATTTCTTTGACTGAGGTTGAGGATGCTTCATGAGTTTAATTAGCCATTTGTACCTCCTTTTAACGACCCAAACTTTCATACCCTTTTCTTGTCAAGTTTGTGTGTTTATCTTGGTTATAAGTCCTAGTGCATCTATACAATATTGCTCATGCCAGGATGTCAGGGATGAATGAAACACAGTAGCAGCTTTCCTTCGGATGCCTCTCAATTCTCTCTCTAGCCCTGAAATTACGTGAAGCTGTGGGTGGAGATTCACCTGATAGTCCCAGAAACCCCTCTCAGCCCGAGGACCATGAGCAACCAGACTCTGGTAAAAGAATTTATCCTGCAGGGCTTTTCAGAGCACCCAGAATACCATGTGCTCTTTTTCAGCTGTTTCCTCTCCCTCTACTCTGTGGCCCTCACAGGCAATATCCTCATCATTTTGGCCATCACCTTCGACCCCGGGCTGCATACTCCCATGTACTTTTTTCTCTTCAACTTGGCTATTATGGACATCATCTGCACCTCCTCCATCATGCCCAAAGCACTCGAGTGTCTGATATCAGAGGAGAGCTCCATCTCCTTTGGGGGCTGCATGGTCCAGCTTTATTTCCTCACATGGGCTGCATCCTCTGAGCTGCTCCTCCTCACAGTCATGGCCTATGACCGGTATGCAGCTATCTGCTACCCCCTACATTACAGCACCGTAATGAGCAAGACCTCCTGCAACATGCTGGCTGCAGGTGTGTGGGTACTCTGTGCCTTCAACACGGCCATCCACACTGGGCTGATGCTGCGCTTGAATTTCTGTGGGCCCAATGTCATTACCCATTTCTTCTGTGAGGTCCCTCCTCTGTTACTTCTCTCCTGTAGCTCCACCTATGTGAACAGCATCATGATTGTCCTGGCTGATGCCTTTTATGGCATGATGAGCTTCCTGATGACCATTGTGTCATACGGCTTTATCATCTCTAACATCCTAAAGATGCGGACTGCAGAGGGGAAGAAGAAAGCCTTCTCCACTTGCTCTTCCCACCTTATTGTGGTGTGCGTGTATTACACTGCTGTCTTTTATGCCTACATAAGCCCTGTCTCCAGCTATAGTGCTGAGAAGAGCAAGCTGGCTGGGGTGCTGTACACCATGGTGAGCCCTACTCTCAACCCCCTCATCTATACTTTGAGAAACAAGGACGTCAAAGCAGCCCTCAGGAAGCTTTTCCTCTTCTTCAGAAATTAATTTGTGCCTTCTTAAGCTCTTCTTTGGAACTACAATTTTAGTGGTAACTGACCTTTCTGTGAAGGGTCCAATGAGGAAGTTTCTGGACTGGAAGGTAAGTAAACTTGTCCGTTCTACCTCTCCCATTATGTAGCAGAATGTCTACACGGATGATCTTGGAATTCTAGCGCCCTGAGGCTGGCTGATGTGAGGATTGTGGTTGGATGTGGGCCTCTGAGACATGGGGTTTCTAAGTCTGACTCCAAAGTAACGTCAGTGTTGAGTTCACAGGGAAACAAAGCTCTCAAGGAGAAGAAATGGCTCTTGTGTTTCAGACTTACATCTGTTTGAAAATATTTTCCTGTTTCCTTTTTCTTTTGTATATACAATATTCAGTATAAATCCTGAAATCACACCTAGAATTTAGGTACGTAGACCTGAGAAGAGTTAGGCAGGATATGTGGACCTCACAGCACTTGGAGGATTGCCAGACTGAAGAATTGCTTCAAGGTGACCACTGGCCCCTAAGAAACTTCTACTCCTACTCTCTTACCTCGATTGTTTCCTCTGGAGCCAGTTAGACTTCAAAAATAGTTTCTGAATCTAATGAAAGTGTTTTTTTCTTTTTTTTCCTTTGCTAACACTCAAGGTAAAACGTATTATTAGGATCACCACTTTGTTTATTTGTTTTAACAGCTTTATTGAGGTTAAAAGATTTACAAAAAAATTTCACATATTTAATGTGTACCATTTGATGAGCATGGACATATGCAGTCACCATTTTGTTTTGAATGTAGAAATTTCTCTTCAACTTGATGCATGGGCTGTGTATCTAGACAATGCCCAAGATTTCTCACCCCTCCTTTACTTTGTGCTCAGATCATGAGGGTTTGACATACCTCACTGACCTGGAGTGGGGACAATGGCTCTGATGTAGCTCTAAAAGTTGCACAGCATTTTAAGAAGGCACTGCTACCCTCCCACTGTTTCAGAATACAACTGGGTAGACAAATCCTCCATGTCTAATGAAGGCAAGTCTTGAACTTGGCTCTGTGCTGTTAGAAAACCAGACTGGAAAATCAATTCTCTTTATCACGATCCATTAAAGGTGACAGAAGAAGTTGTGAATGTTTAATTGAATCTGGGATTGAATAAAAACACATAGTATTTGCTATTGAGATGGAAACTGAAAGTAGAGTTTGACATTGATTTAGAAGGGATAAATTGTCCATGGGTTTTCATCCAGTGTTCTCATTATCATTCATGAGAGGCACATTGATTTTGGGTATGAAATTCAAGAATTTTATGAACCATAGGCTGACTGTGGCAATGGCACATAGGTTGGTATGGACCAGGTCTAGTCTTTTCTAATAGAATTTTTACACCCAAAGAACATATTGAAGCCTCCAGTGCTCTCAGTTTCCAATGCATAAGGCTTTGAAAACTACCACTAATGCACCAATGTGATTACTAATAGATTTTCAACATGCCAGCAAGAGTGCATATTGTGTTACTATATTCATCTTGGTTTCTTATAGTTTTTATATTTTCTACATTTTGTAATGGATTTAAAAAAAATAAATAAAAAATACCTAGATGAATATTGAGTGTTTGAGAGCTTTACTCATTTGACAAAATAGAAATATGAGACTTGATCTCTCTTCTTAGAAAACAGGTAATCTGGTTAAGAAGGCACTAGTGCCCATGAAGATGAATGTAAAAAGAAAAGGCATGAAGAGTGCTGTGTTGCAGGAAGTAGTGTCATGGTCTTGTGGATGCACAGAGATGTGTGTAGTGCCTGAACTGGGAGGGGTGGGGGATAAGGTTCGGGTTCAAATTCAGACTCTTTCAGAACACTCAACCAATTTGAGCTGTAGTTTCTTTCTAAGTATAATGAGGACAATAAATCAGCCTAGAGATGCTGCCAAGATTGAATGAGACAACTGAAGACAGTGATATCAAGTGCTATGTAAGTTTAAGATATTACTATGGTGAGTGATCACTGAAGATAGGAGCAGTCAAGGAAGCCTGAATGTCACAATCCCTTACCACTGCCTGCCCTAGGGTTATGTTTGTGGTGGTTAGCTGGAAAGGGGAAGTTGGGGCCAAGTGGCATGGGACCACACAAAAAGGGGCTGTTGTGGATTCAACTCTCTCAAATGACCTAGCAAGGAGAAGCAACTGGGATGGGTAAATGAAAAACCATTCCCTGATGGTTGTTCCCCAATATAATGTGGATCCTGTTTATCTCAGGAAGCTTCAGGCTCATGAGTGACATCATCTCTACTCAGGAAAGGCCAATGAAGAAAATTTCCTGACAGAGATGGACTGTCGACATCTCCTTAACCCTAGATTCTCTCCCAGCTCCCTAAAGCCCGTCTTCTTTCAGCTCCAACACTTTTTCCCTGCCCTTCAAACTTATACGGGTCCATTTTAGTCCTCAGATCACTTCTTCTCTTCCCTGCTCAGTCGAGCCCCATCTCAGGCTCTGTTCATCTTGTCCCTCTGAGCTCTATATGAGCAGCTGGTCCTTCTTTCTGTAGCCCTCTTGGTCCAGGTAGAGCATCCCTCTCTGCTGGAGTGTCTTCTTGCTTGGGGTTTTCCTTCTCGGGAACATATGCCTTCTTTCCTTTAACTGACCTGACAAGTGAGACTTTGTTCTTTTTGTGACTCCTTTTTCAGGAACTGGCACCAATTTTCCTCCTTTAGCTGAGACAGAGAAGCAGCCCTTCTTCTTCATAATGTTATTTCTTAAAATTAGTCCTTGTGATTTAATGCAGACAGACTCATGACCCCACAGGCATCCAGCAGGCAGCACTTTCTATGACTGGCTGACTGTGACTTCACATCATCAGTTCTTTGACGAGCCACAGAGAGGAACTGATAGAACTTCCTCTTCACCCATTTTCCTGCTTTTTGTCTTTGATAATGAATATCAGTCAAGAAAACACATCCTTTCTTCAAATTATTCTCCAACCACAAGGACTTACCCTTTTGGCTTCTCTGGCTCAAGCAGACCTCCTGTACATGGTGCGGACCAGATTGATCTGCCAGCACCAGCAGCCATGCAATAGTGTCAGGCTGATGCAGATAATATATGGGCCTATGGTGCATCCAGTTCCCTTTCTGTGGACTCTGCTTCAAGATCTGAAATCTTAGCCACATTCCTGTCCTTTGATCCCGGACAAGAAGGTAGTTGTATGCCTGTGTTTTATGTTGACTTTCCTTTTTCTTCAGTTTAGGAATTAATCCTTGGGTTTGTCAACCTCAACACTATTGACATTTGGGCTGGGTCATTGTTGTGGGAGCTGTCCTGTGCATTGTAGGATACTTAGCAGCATCCTTGGCCTCTACCAACTCAATGACAGTAGAACCACCCCAGTTGTGAGAATCAAGAACATCTCTGGACAAAGCCAGAGCTCCTCAGGCAGAGCAAAATTGTCTCTGGATGAGAACCACTGAACTACAACCACTAGAGATGGCCTCTCACATTAGGAAGGATTTGCGGGTGTTGCCATGCCACTTTTGTTGCTATGACTAGTGCCTCCAATGACAGGACAGCTTCTGCACATCAAGTCTGAGACTAAGTACTGCCAAATTTGTCTCTAGGTTTCCAGTAACACTGCAAGAGGCTAGGTAGCATGTCCTAGTCACACAATGAGTGGGAGGTGAAGACAAGACTTGAATAGAAGCTCAGTGAATCCAGAGCACAAGCTCTTAACCACCAAAGTATATTATAGCCTGTCATGGACTCCAGCTTCTGGTAGTGTCCACAGGTGGGACAACAAGGGACTTTGAGAACAAGCAGTAAGCCTGCTGCAGCCCCTGCCCAACGTGACCAATGGATCAAGAAGAGCAATCTTTTTGAAAGTGTTACACTGTCCTCAGTAGAGAACACAAGATTTAGATCCTACTAACTTTTTTCAGAGCTACAGGATTGTGAAATGATGTGTGCCACTTGGCAGAGATGAGAGACCTGAGCCACTTTCCCAGACATGGCTTTTTTAGACCCTGTCCAGCAGGTGCTGGCATTTATTCCAGAGAAAGGGCATCTCCATAAGACTGGAGAAGTCCCATCACATTTAATTTCCAATGCATGGAGCAGACGCTTATTTTATTTTATCTTTTAAATTTACTCTAAGAACCCCCTTTCTAGTGGGAAAGGAGTCCAGAGGGGTTACTTTCATCAAAGGCAAGCCTGAGGCATTTGACCCACCCCCACTGGGAGGGGACATAGCTAGAGACAGAGCTAGGCTTTAGTCCTCCACTACCAACTGGGGTGAGCCCAGTACCTTCCTTGGATGAGAGCTCTACCCAACAGCCAAGGTGCTATAGCTGGATCCTATAGCTAGATCCTATAACAGATGGGCCCTACAGCTAGAGGATGTTCCTGACATTCCCTAAAAAAGCATGTGATGAGGAGGGGGCCTGGGCTCTTGAGGACATCTCTTTATACTTGCCCCATGTCACATTAAAAGATCAAGTCATGGGGGGCTGGCCCCGTGGCCGAGTGGTTAAGTTCGCGTGCTCCGCTGCAGGTGACCCAGTGTTTCGTTGGTTCGAATCCTGGGCGCGGACATGGCACTGCTCATCAAAACCACGCTGAGGCAGCGTCCCACATACCACAACTAGAAGGACCCACAACAAAGAATATACAACTATGTACTGGGGGCTTTGGGGAGAAAAAATAAAAAAATAAAATAAAATCTTTAAAAAAAAAAAAACGATCAAGTCATGAATTGGTCTTGCTTTGTCGTTTTTTGGTGGTAAGCAAGCCTCATGTCTTTGGCAGGCTGACACCCGTACACAAGCCTGAACCTGTTAGTAGTATTGTACTGAGTTGATCTGCCTCTGTGTGCTTCCCTATGCTGTCTTTTCCTCCTTAAACATTTGTACTCAGACTGTGATAGACTAGTCAAAAGAATGAGACCTATCAGAATGCTCATTTTTCTGAAATATATTGAATTATAATCAACAGATGTGATTAGGTAGCACCATAAATGTGTGCTTTCTGGGACAGAACTGTCACTTATATTTCCTATATTGGACAGTGGAAAAACTCAGAGCCCAAATTCTCATCCAGCCTCCACTTAGATTCCCAGGGATGCTAATGAAACTGCCCAGCATAAGTTTTGTGGGGTCTGCATGCCAGGAAACACACCACATTCTCCTGCTTCCCTCTGTGTTGGAGTTGCTACGTGAACTAGTTTAGATGGAGGGGGCAGCAACTGGCTCATTATTAACCTATAGTCTCTCAGCTCCAAAGTCAGCTCTGGGACTCTGGGCCTGGGGTTCTGCAAACCATATTTTGCTTTTGCAGGTGAATTTCTGTTACTCTCTGCACAGAGGGGGCCCTAGAGGGATGCTAAAGGACTGGAGGAGGGAGCTGGGACTTGCTCTGTCCTACTTGCTTCCTGCCTCTGTCACCATCGCCCAGTGAGGAAGTGATTGGGCCCATTGGCAGCAGCTGGATGCAGTTTTCACACTTGTAGGAGCAGCCTCATTGGGCCCCTTGGACATGCCAGCATGTGGTCATCAGTGTCGCCTACCCAGAGTTTTGAATCCCAGTCCAGTAGGAGCTCTCCTCCAAGGTCCTGTGGTAGCAGCACCTGCTGAGCAATGTATGTTGCTCAGAGGGCTGAGCCCTAGCTCTGTGTGGTCTCTTCACACACAGGAAGACCTGGGCTGCTCAGGATGCACAACCCCATCAGAGGTGTCTGACCAGCTCAGTGGAGCCCCTTCTCTGGTTTTCTCAGTTACGGGGGCCTTAAGCTCACCTCTTTGTTCCTCCAGTCCTAGGAGATAAACCTGCTTTCTGCGCTAGCTGTCACTATATCACCTCAGAGTT